CAACCCCCCGCCCAAGGCGATCCCCCTCGACTAGTTCCGAAGGGCTGCTGCTGCTCCTTCCTTGCTCGTCGGGGAAACAATATTAATGGATTCGGAAGGCAAAGCCAACCCCATTACATCGTTAAAAAAACAAATTGTAAAAGCTGCGTCGAAACTGCCGTGAAACGACGAGAAGGAAAGAGACGTAGCCACTGCCACCTCCCTTTCGGCCCTGGAGGGAAATGGGAACGTGGTAATAACTCATTATCGACCCCGGAGACGGTAGAGTACTGCTTTGTTCAGGAGAAAATGAGAGAGAACGTCTGTCGCTAAAATAGTCAACCTCTCCTCTAGCTTGCCTTCCCCGCGATCAAAGAGAGATGTTTATAGGGTGAATCAGCCATACCTTGGTATTTTGATGTTATGGACGGGGTAGAACGAGTGATCGGCGCACACCCGCGCGGCACGAAACGGGCACGCTGTACCTGTACCGTCCGGTGGGGAATGCGCTGCGCCGAGGCCTGCGGTGCGGTTCCAAGTAACTCCTACGGTACGGTCCGGCCCGTCCGGCCGCAACTCCCAGCACGTGCACTGCGGCCGCCCCCGGGCCGCCCCCGGGCCGCCCCCGCCGGGACTCCTACCGCCCAATCAGCCGTGGGCCGTCCGGCCGAGCTATGGGCCATTACCGCCAGCCGAAGCACGCGCCCGCACTTAATACCATAGGCTTGGCCGCAGAATCGCGATGAAAAGTTGTCGGTGCGGAATCACATTTGCTTATTTTGTTGTTTGTTTTATATATTTTTTGTTTTGTTCCTTACTCGCTCAGTACTCGCTCTTTGCCAACCAGACAAGAGCACGGCGGCGGCACCTGCAAGACTCGGGGTGGTTCAACCCGCAGTACACGCATGCATGACAAAGGCAAGATGTTGCATACCTAATAACTGTTGTGTTCTGCGTCAGTTCTGCTGCGTCTCTACTTGGTTGTTTTTCTCTTGTTGTTTTCTTAAAGGAATTGATATTTTGGCGTAAAAAAAGTCACTAACTTGATTTTGACTTTTCAAAGGGACCTGGTTAGTTTCAGAAGTAGAACGAACATTACATTTCTTGGGTCGGGACCCCCCGGGGGTTGGGGACGGAGTGGGATCTTTTCACCTTCTCCGTTTGTGCCGTGACCCAATTCTTCAGACAGACAGATGGCCCAGTTGAAGATACTATGGCGAGGCGGATTGAATAGAGAACGGAAATAGGGCCGGAGCCGGGCCAAAAAGAATAAAAACATCGAGAGGGGCGGAGAGGGGGGCAATGAGAATGGGGCCGTTCTAAAAGGGAAAATGGTGCGATCCACGTGACAACAACACCTTCATGGGAGTGCCAACCGGCAACTGGTTGTTCGCACAGGTTGCTCGCAGCACTGTGGAAAAAAGTAGGGAGGTTTACAGGAAAATTTTCCTTGACGCATATTGTAAAATTACAATTTGTAATCGTAAAAATACATGCAGTATGATCGTCTTCAAATCCATTGTCGAGTAAAAAATGTGCCCTCGTAAATTGACAACTTAAATTATAATTCGAGTTTACAGTTTGTTTGTTTTTGTAAATTTACGAGGGTATTTTTCCCAGTGAACGCAAAGCCTCCCACTCCCCCTCATTCCTCTCCATTGGGGTGCGCGAGTCAAGGAAATAAGCGTCCCCTCATCATAATGCGGCTTGTGCCTCACCTCGCAGCTCTGTGATGAAGCAATGCTTGTTACGGGCTAAACACGGCGCGGCGGCGCGTCAGCAGGCGCGGTCAGCACTCTCAGCACTCCGGCACCTGCAAAGTTAAAAAAAAAAAAATCAAGTATGGAAAGTTATTTTAAATACCAGTATTTCAGTATTTAGAATCGTGAGCATATCACGTCACGACAGAACGAAATAAGGAATCAAAGCGGAGTCCCTCCGTTTTAATGCCTGAGCTAATTGGCTTGCGACCCGTGTGCTCCGAGCTACTTGCAGCTTCTCTCCAATAAGGGGGTGGGAGGGGAGGTTTGGCAGGCAGAGAGCGGGAGAGAGGGGGGGGGGGTCAGGAAGTCGCAGGGGAGGGGAGGCGTCACGTTACTTGGCACCACCCTCCCCTCCATTGGCGCTCGACAGCATCTTGCCCTAAATTATCGTCCGGCGGTGTAACTGTAGGAAGGCGGCGCGGGAGGAACCGGGGCCGGGCTCGGGCCCCGCGGCCGCGGCTTAGGCTATTGAGCACAAGTCAAATACGCGAGCAGGGACGCCCGCAGCGCCCGGCGAGAGGATACTGTCGAAAAAAAATATTTGTTCAATATAAATAGTTGTATAGTGGAAATAGTGGTTTCCCATTACGCAAGGACGCAACAGTCGCGAGGTCGATGGAATTGTTCTTAACAGTTGAACTCGACAAAATGTTGATTCTTACTTTTTTCGTCTACCAACGATTGCAGCCAAATAGTGAGAGAAAAGTGTGCAGTTCCAGCACGTATGAGTAAATGTGTGTTTCTATGAGGGGGGAGGATTCGTTATGTGGGTCACAGAGGGTGCACTTGGGCACGGCGCGCGCCGCCGGCGTGAGCGTGTGCGGGAGCGCGGTACGTGACGAGCTTACAAAAGACTTAATTTTTACAAAATTCTCCCCGCTTAAAAAAGAAGAAAAAAACGTTTGATGCTTGAACAGCCCGGCATAGCGCTGCTGAATGGTCGTGGGAGGCAGAGAAAAGAAGAACTCAGCTCGACGAAGAGAGAATGTATACCGCTGCTCAACAGCCGGCCCGCGCCGCGGCAAACCCCTTTGTTTCTCTACTTCGCTCTCCTTTTGGATATGCCGTTAATGAAAGGTGACGATGGGGGGCGTCTTTTGTGCCGAGAACAACGACGCAGGTGTGAACAGAAGGCGTGCCGCTTTTTGATCATAAAACACCATCACGCCCGTGCCATACATTACTCTTGCATTTAAAAAGAAAATCTACCTTTCAGACCTGTTGAGCTTCTAAGTCAGAGACAACGTGACAAAAGTTGGTTTCGAGGGATGTGGAACTGGACACAATATATGTGTACACCGGGAAAAACATTCCGAAACAATTGTGAAACAATCGGATACAATCACACACAATTCGAAACGATCACACACAATCCGAAAGAATTACACACAACCAGAAAGAATCACACACAATCCGAAAAAATTACACGCAATCAGAAACAATTGCACACAATCACAATCAATTAATAATACACAATCATACGATCTAGAACAATTGACTCGTGTTCGGAAACAATCACGCACAATCAGGAACAATCATACAAAATCGGAAACAATCACTCAAAATCGGAAACAATCAAAATTGTTAAAATGATGTCCCAATATTGACCCAACAATCGGAAACAATCAGATACAATCATCAACACAATCATACACAATCTGAAACAATGATTGTCTAGACACAATCAAACCCGGTTGGGTTTTACTATTTTACTATTTCAAATTGCAATTATATGACACACATCGTGGAAAATTTACTAGCACCTCGTATCGACTTTGGAAGTGAAAAACTGACCAGTCACAAACTTCCATCATATTTTGTTAATAAAAAAAATTACAACAAATGCTGTTAAGAGGATATTTTTCACAATGACTCAGCTTCGGAAGTTATAGGCGGGGGGTAGTGGGAGAAGGGAAGGCGGGGGAGGGAAAAAATTTAAGGAGATTGAAGGGGGCAGCGCGGCCAGCATTCAATCATTTGAGTCTCCGGTGGGGTCGCCACACAATGAGAACTGTTTTCCATCTCAATGCACTCCTCGCCTCACCGCAACGCTTTAATATTCGCCCCTCTTCATCGAAGAGCAATGCGCAATGCGGTGATTCCTGTGGGAGATATCCAGTTACCAATGTGCGACTTACAAAATGCGATCCGCGATATCGGAACTCAAACCCGCTTCTGAAGTGTTCTTCAAATTCCCCGAAAACACACAACTTCAAATCATTTTTTTTTTTTAATTCTCAATGTTTTTTAAAAAATTAAAAAAATTCAAGTTTTTCAAAACACAATCATTTAAACAAACGAAATACTTAACCTATTTGCTTTTTGTTGTGTGTGTGCTAGGCGGTGTCCGGGGCGGCGGCGGTCGGACAGCTCGCCGCACTCCCAGCAGACAACGGCTTCCCAACAGGCAGAGCGAAGAGGACCTCAGGGGCCGTGCCCATCACAGGTGAGAACACCACGAGAAGGCGAAAGCCAGCTAATATATTGACTGGTATCTGGACAGACAAGCACATAAACTTCTGTAACCACTATATTGCCTAATCTAATCAATCATTGGCTGTGCCAGTCAAAAATTAGCTGTAAGAGCTCATCCCTTACCTAAATCAGTCGAGGTCTACCTTACTGATGCAGGCAAATCATTACTTCATACAACTTATCTTTGACTGGCACAGCCAATGATTGATTAGAGTAGACAATATAGTGGTTACAGAAGTTTATGTGCTTGTCTGTCCAGATACCAGTCAATATATTAGCTGGCTCAGCGAATCTTTTTTTTTCCGTGATGCCACGATTTTCCTGCCCTGCACGGCTGAAATAATAATAACAATGCAACACTCTGAGAGGTTGGCCCCGAAAAACTTCGCGGCGTTCTTCGTCACGGGAGACACACGATCGGTCGCGTTGTGACCGACTCGAGCGTGACCTCCTCAGCAACACGTGACATTAAGGGCGGGGCAGGCCTGCTTCCCAGGAAACAGAAAGAGAGGGAGAGAGGGGGGGGGGGACACTGTTAGAAAAATTTCTGGGATTTCACGGAGGAACACTCGTGAAAAATATTGCCAAAGTTCTTTGGGATTTACCAAAGGACTCCGTAGATTTCACGTGACGGGTTTGGCTTCGACACACATACACGATTAAAAACTTGCTACCTTTACCAGGTGTTTTAGGACATAAAAATTAGGAACGGAGTCCTCTGGGAATTTCTAGAAGTAGCTTAGAGTGCATCTTCGGGAAATCCCAAGAAATTTTTAACAGTGGAGAGAGAGAGAGAGAGAGAGAGAGAGAGAGAGAGGGGGGGGGGGAGACGCACAATTATGAGTCGTGTCGCTCAGCCAACTCGCGGGACTTGTTCGAGAGGTGGGAACATCGCGATCCAATACGCCTGTGCGCGAGCGCGTGCACGCGACGGCCTTTTGTGGAGGCGGGCTCCGGGCTCCCGCTTCGAACGTTTTCAAACTTTTGGGGTCTAGATTAATGAGCAGTCGGGAACGGGCTTGGCGTGCGTCACCTGTCTCCTTCACACAAATGGTCACGCCTGGCTCCCCTCCCCCCTTCTCTCTCTCTCTCTCTCTCTCTCTCTCTCTCTCTCTCTCTCTCTCTCTCTCTTGCCCTCTCTCGCTCCCTCCCTCTTGGGGTAGGAGGTTTGAACGCTGCTGACGCACGCCCAATCTTTCTCCACACGGAAAGCTGTCAAGTTTTAAACGAACATGATCGACGTCGTTCCTCACCGCAACACCGCCCGAGGCAGTCACGATGGTTAACTCCGGGAACATTATTTTAGAGTATACACCGCTTTCCCCATCGAGAAGGGGGTAAATCGTTTACTCAACTTCTTCATACCGAAAATAATAGTTTAGAAACAGTGAAGTTTACATCACACACACACAAACGTGGGGATCTTTGTGGCACGCCAGCATCGGGTCGTCAAAGGAGAACGTTAAACCATCGAGCAGCAGAAGCGTCTCACACAGTTCCAGAAAACTTAATAACGCAGCAACAGTAATACAATAACACTCGCGAAATGATTCTATGTGAAATGGCAGCGGCAGGCAGCGGAGCGGCGTGAGGGGCGGCTGGCGGCGGCGGGGGGCGGCTAGAAGCCCCTTCTCCACACACGCCGCCGCTCACTCAGAGCAACAGGTGGCCGCTTTGTACCGCCGGCCCCTTCTCTTTCTATCTCTCTCTCCCTCTCTCTGCCGCTTTTCACCGCCAGCTCCCCTTCCCGCCACCAGCCCCCTTTAGGCCCCTCTGCCCCCCCCCCCCTTCTTTCTCTCCCTCTCTGCCACTTCGTCGCTGCGGTGGCGGCGGCGTGTGGTGTGGAGGGTACAAGTCTCATCTGCAGTCGCGAAACTAAAAGCACACACTCGCGCGCGCGTCAACTTGGAAACGGAGAACAAACGTCACCGTTATTAAACCCGAAAGCAACCACATCACAACCTCCTCCCCCTCGCCCGCCCCCGCAGCAGAGGGACGCCGCGCCACGCCAGCGCAGCAACATGCCGCATTATGACCCCATAAACCGACTGCCATTGCCGCGACCCCGGCAAAGCGAGAGCAGAGCGAGAGCGGCCGGCGGGCGGGACAAGGAGGAGGGCCGCTGGAGGCCCGGCACCGCCCCGAAGGCCGCCCCCGCCGTGATGGTGACCATGTGGGCCGAACCAGGCCATGGCCCGGCCAAGGCTGCCGCGCGGGCCTGCCCCTGCAGGGTCGGGCCGCTGCCCCCTGCCCTGGCGCTGCCGACTGCTAACGAGGCCTGCCTATCCCGGCGACTCTCCAATGTCACCGCGCGCTCTACTAGAGGTATAAGATCGGCATAATGATTGTGATGGTTGTGAAAGTTGAAAAACTTAATTCATTTTGCTTAACCAAAACTTTTTCGCACACACCTATTTAGGTTTCTTTGAAAACTTTTATAGGAAATTTATCGGATTGTAAAACATTTTTTCGACTTTCACTCGCGTAAAACCCCTCTCCCTCGCACTACTGGCGACACACCGGACCGCCACGCCAGACCACGCCGCGACAAAAGCAGACGATACGAGTGGGGTCGTCGGCACGCCGGCGCTGAGGAAGCACTTTGGCGCCGCCCCCGGCCCCGCCCGCGCCATGAGCACGAGAGCGTCTCGGGTTACCTGGCGGCGCCTCGGATGAGGAGGAGCTCCCCGGAGGCCAAATGCACGACGCGTGAGGTTGACGCCACACGGCGCATCCCATGGTGATCTTCTTATAATCCCCTGATAATGGGGAGCAACGCCCCAGCACAGGCGTCTCCAGGAGTGCTTAGAGAAAGGGCGGGGGCGGGAAAGGAAACGCGGTGGCCCACAGGCATACTGGAAAAAATGTATTTGTAAATTAACATTTTTTTTTTTTCAAATTTTTCACCAATTGTAATTAACGCATTACGCATAAGGTGTCTTAATAATTTTGAAATATTTCAAAATGTCAATTCACAACGTTATACAACATCTCTCATCCATCGTGAAAATGTTTTCCACAAAACCTACCCAAATAATTTCTACAAAGAGAGTGCCACCAATTACGAGAACTAGTAATCTTTTAAATGAGCGCGCACTCAAGTTGACGCTTCCTCCTCTCTCCCCCTCATTTGCAGAATAATAACCGCAACCATCATAATCACCACCAAGCCAAATCTCCTACAGGCGGAGGGGAATGGGTGAGACAATTTCCTCCGCCCCCGCAGCCCCAAAGGGAAACAGTAACGTTGCCGGGGAGGCACGTGTTTCTGGGCCGCGGCGCCCTCGCGATCCCACCCGCGGCCCGGAGCTGCAAATCGCCTCTGTTAAGACCCAGGAGCCGCAGCGCGTTTAGTATTACGCCGCGAGCGGAAATGTGGGTTCATTAAAAGTGATGCTGAATCACCATGCCGGCCGGGGGGCCGGGCGGCCGCCACACCTCTGCACCCCCACCACCCGGCTATTCCCAACCCGCGGCACCGAAAAGTTGTGATGAATCGCGCGTTGTGGCAAAACTACTTAGCTTCCACGCCGACCTCCCGCCGCGGAGCTTAAGTGCAGCTTCCGCAGCTGTAAAACAGTGTTAATGACGAGCCGCTCAAGCAGAGTGGTGCCTGCGGTGCCGCCGAGCGGTGCCGCGGGTGGTGTTTAAAAGGACGCGGCGAGGTTGTTCAAAAGTCGTTTCTTGCGTGCTGTTGCATGTTGTGGGTCACATTCATTCATACTCACTCACCACACCTACTCATGGGCTGTTTAAATTATACGATGACTTTCACCGTAAGTTACAGTGGAACCCAGGACTATAAATGTTTAAAGAGAGAGCAACGTATCACAAATCCATCATTAAAATAATTTTACAGACCACATTTCTAACGTAAAGTCCTAATGGTTGAATTACAAAACGAGTTGTTTCAAAACAAAACAGAAAGTATGCAAGAAATATGGTGTAAATCAAATTTTAACAGTGTGCAGTAGTCACGTGACCTCTGGGTCCGCGGTGCTGCGGATGATGAGCCCCCCGGCTGGAATACATTACGAGAAGCGCTGAATGGCGACCAAGATTGGAGGGGTGATAGCAATTATCACCCCCCCCCCCCCCCCTTTTCCCAGCCGCCCAGCCGGGCCGGACATGTCGGTGTGGTGTAGTCAACGCCGCAAGGGACAAGAGATTCGCCAAAATAAGCTCTGTGCAAAAAAAACTAAACACGAAACTTAGACATGCAGTGTGCCTATGGCTTTGGAGAACTCAGAACTTGTAAAACTGTGCAAACCGGAGGCTGCGCGCGAAACCCTCCGTAACCCTTTTGCTTTGCTGAATACCAACGTAACAACAACATCAACTCCTTCCTCCCGAATCTCCGGCAGCAGCAGCCCCCC